GGTTTAGGGGTTTGGGGTTTTGGGGATTTGGGGGTCTGGGGTTTGGGGTTTTGGGGATTTGGGGATTAGAGTCTGTGCAAGATGCCATGCGGACGATCCAGAACCATGAGCTAAGTATGCAGTACGAATAAAAATTAGGAGTTAAGTCAGCCCTGTTGAGCTCGCCGCCTGAACGCCGACCACACTGATTCTGGATGAAATAAGTGCACATCAGAGACTACACGATTGACATCCCTGAAGCCGAAACCCTAAATCCTGAAACCGAAACCCTAAACTTCCTAAACTCTGAAGCCTAATCCCTGATAGAACCTCTCGATCCCAAACATCGCCGCCCAAAACCCGAAACCCAAAGCCCTAAGCCCTAAACCTCAAAACCCCTAAACCCCTAAACCCCAAACCCCAAACCCCAAAAGCCCTAAACCCAAAGCCCTAAACCCTAAACCCCAAACCCCAAAAGCCCTAAACCCAAAGCCCTAAACCCCCCAAAGACAATCGCCCCTAAACCCTAAACCCTAAACCCTAAACCCTAAACCCTAAACCCTAAACCTTAAACCCTAAATCGCCTCTCAAGGGTGATCACATGGAGCTCCAAGTCTTCCCCGGAGTCCACGAAGGCCCGGAACTGCCTCGGAGCCGGGTTGCACGACATGGGGGGCCTTTGGTTCCAAAGGGCTCCTTAAAGGGTTTAGGGTTTAGGGTTTTTTTGGGTGGTTTAGGGTTTAGGGTTTAGGGTTTTTTGGGTGGTTTAGGGTTTAGGGTTTAGGGTTTAGGGTTTAGGAGCTTTAGGGTCTAGAAGAGGTCGAGGGTTTAGGAGCTTTAGGGCCTAAGGGTTTAGTGTCCGTGCCGCGGGCCATAGAACCGACCGAGAAGTTGCGACACATGTGGCCCGATGACTGCACGCTACTTACAAAAAAGCAACCGTGACGCTAGTGACAGCAGGAACCTAAACCATTAAACCCTTGGACTTAAAGGTATTGTAGAGTTATAGGGTTTGGGGTTTGGTGTTAAATGGTTTAGGGTTATTGGGCCTCAAATGATCACACGAGAAAGAAGAAGATAGCACAGTCCCCTAAGCCCAAAAACCCCCAGACTCCCGGAGTACGGCTTGATGGTGGCTCTGCTTCCGGGGAACATGCAGGACCATGCTATGACACCCTAAACCCTAAACCCTAAACCCTAAACCCTAAACCCTAAAGCAGCTTCAGACAGCCGCGGTCCTTCAACAGAGAGTCCGGCACACCCGCAAAGAAGGACGTGCCATGAGCCTTACAAGTAT